GCCTGACACGTGTATACACAGGCAGCTCTTCATCTAACTCAGATGCAGGTAATTTAAAGACATATGCTTGGGGCCGGTACTGTGGCTCAGTGGGTTAACACCCTGGCCTGAGGTGCCGATATCCCACGTGGGCACCTGTTCTGGTCCTGGCTGTTCCACTTCTGATCCAGCTCTCTGTTGTAGCCTGGGAAAGGCAGTGGAGGATGACTCAAGTCCTTGGGCTCCTACACCCACATGGGAGTCCCAGATGAAGCTCCTGGCTCCTGGCTTTGGATCGGCACAGCTCTGGCCGTTGCAGCCATCTGGGGAGTGAGCCATCAGACAGAAGATATCTCTCTCTCTCTCTATCTCTCTCTCTCTCTCCCTCTCCCTCTCTGCCTCTCTGCCTCTCCTCTCTCTGTGTAACTCTGACTTTAAAATAAATAAATAAATAAATAAATAAATAAAAAAGGGGGCCGGTGCTGTGGCTCAGCGGGTTAAAGCCCTGGCCTGAAGCGCCAGCATCCCATATGGGCGTCAGTTCTAGTCCCAGCTGCTCCTCTTCCAATCCAGCTCTTCTATGGCCTGGGAAAGCAGCAGAAGATGGCCCAAATCCTTGGGCCCTTGCACCTGCGTGGGAGACCTGGAAGAAGCTCCTGGCTCCTGGCTTTGGATCGGCATTGCAGCCATCTGGGGAGTAAACCAGCGGATGGAAGACCTTTCTCTCTGTCTCTACCTCTCTCTGTAACTTTCTTTCGAATAAAATAAAATTTAAAAAAAAAAGATATATGCTATTAAACACAGTTTTAAAATTCACCACCTTTGCCCCTAACTGAATGCATACACAGGAAGTCCTCTTTCCATACTTCAATTTCCAATCTACATCAACAGGCTAACCATAACCCTATATACTGAACTCTATGCATCCATAACAATATTACTCCATCACTCAATAAAACTCAATATGACTACCCTAGTCTTTATCCCCTCAGACAAAGGTAGAAAGGAAGGTGCCTTACTGCCCTTTAACTGGGAAGAGGGGTGATGTTAAAGCCATGATCACCACAGGCATCTTCTCCCTACTCTATTCATAGGCATGTCACTCTGTGCTAACCATTAAGAGTAAAGTTATTAAATAGCTAACTATCCCAAGTAAAACACAAGTGCAATATTCCTTCTCCAATCATCTGAATAAATTATATACATGGGACCCTATACAACCACTGGTAATTATTATTAATGATAAACTTCAATTCTCATACAAAAAGTGCTTCAGAATTTATTCATGGTTACCTTCGCATTTTTGCTGTAATCCTTTTATTCTGTTCAACATAAACACTTTTACATATTTCTAATTGCATAATCCTCATTCATGGACTTCTGCAATTTTATCCAATTCCATACTTTGTTGATTAACTAATATCCCCCAACACACATCAACTAAGTTATTCCAGATTTTACCTTTACATTCATATTATGCTCCTAAAACCCTTCTCTTTATATTTCTTTAATGATTTATTTATTTTATTTGAAAGGCAGAGTTACAGAGAGAGAGAGAGAGAGAGAAAGATTTTTCCATCCACTGGTCCACTCCCCAGATGGCCACAAAGGCAGGGCCTGGGCCAGGCAGAAGCCAGGAGCTTCTCTGAGTCTCATGGGTGCAGGGGCCCAAGGACTTGGGCCATCTTCCACTGCTTTCCCAGGCACATTAGCAGGGGACTGCATCAGAAGTGAAGCAGCCAGGATTCAAACCGGCACCCAAATGGGATGCTGAGACTGGCAGCTTTACCCTCCAAGCCATAAAGGCAGCCTCAAAACCCTTTAAAAAAAAGAAAGATTCATTTATTTGAGAGGCAGTGGCAGAGAGAGAGAAAGAGAGCTCTTCCATCTACTGGTTCACTTCCCTAATGGCCACTGTGGCTGAGCTGAGCCAGATCGAAGCCAGGAGCTTTCGGGTCTCCCACGACGGTGCAGGGACCCAAGGACTTGGGCCATTTTCTACTGCTTTCCCAGGCCATAGCAGAGAGCTGGATCAGAAGTGGAGCAGCTGGGACTCACATAGGCACCCATATGGGATGCCAGCACTGCAGGTGGTGACTTTACTAACTACAGCACAGCGCAGACCCCACAACCGTTTTCTTTACTAACCTACCATTAAAGCAAGAGCTAGTATTTTCTTCCCTTCCATGTCCAGGCATATAAATACAAACATATGTCCAACTGCCCCAACCATTCTGACAAACTTTAACATATATTCCTGTTCTCACATATGGCCTCCAGGCATTAACGCACCTCATGAACTCCTCTAAGACACATATTTTTCTTAACATGACTTTCTGCAGATGATCGAGGACATACACTCCGATAGCACTTATTCTACCATAAAACTCACAAAAAGCAATAATGGACATTAAGGACACAAAAATATACTAAAAAATGTAGGGGCTGGGGGGCCAGTGCCATGGCTCACTTGGTTAATCCTCCGCCTGCGGCGCCGGCATCCCATATGGGCACCAGGTTCTAGTCCCGGTTGCTCCTCTTCCAGTCCAGCTCTCTGCTGTGGCCTGGGAGGGCAGCAGAGGATAGCCCAAGTGCTTGGACCCTGCACCCACATGGGAGACCAGGAAGAAGCACTTGGCTCCTGGTTTTGGATGGGCGCAGCGCCAGCCAAAGCAGCCATTTGGGGAGTGAACCAATGGAAGGAAGACCTTTCTCTCTGTCTCTCTCTCTCACTAACTCTACCTGTCAAATTAAAAAAAAAAAAAAATGTAGGGGCTGGCACTGTGATGCAGGTTAGAGCCTGGGCCTGCAGTGCCAGCATTCCATCGCAGCACCAGTTTGAGTCCCAGCTGTTCTATTTCTGATCCAGTTCCCTGCTAATGCACTAGGGAAAGCAGCAGAAGGTGGCCCAAGCCCTTGGGCCCCTGCACCCATAGCAGAGACTGGGATGAAGCTTCTGGATCTTGGCTTTAGACTGGCCCAGCTCTGGCCATTGTGGCCATTTGGGGAGTGAACCAGCAGATGGAGGACCTCTCTTTCTCTCTCTGTAACTCTGCCTTTCAAATAAATAAAATAAATCTTAAAAAAAAAAAAAAAAAGAATGTATGAAAATAATAAAATCAGGGCCAGCGCCGTGGCTCACTTGGCTAATCCTCTGCCCACGGCGCCAGCACCCCAGGTTCTAGTCCTGGTTGGGGAGCCAGGTACTAGTCCTGGTTGCTCCTCTTCCAGTCCAGCTCTCTGCTGGGGCCCGGGAGGACAGCGGAGGATGGCCCAAGTCCTTGGGCCCCTGCACCTGCATGGGAGACCGGGAAGTACCCAGCTCCTGGCTTCGGATCGGTGCAGCACTGGCTGTAGCAGCCATTAGGGGAGTGAACCAATGGAAGGAAGACCTTTCTCTCTGTCTGTCTAGCTCTGCCTGGCAAAAAAAAAAAAAGAAAAAAAAAAAAGAAAGAAAGAAAGAAAGAAAACAAAATCAAAGATAATGGGGGGGTGGGCTGCGGGAATTGGAAACCCACAAAGGACACAGAAGGTTTCAATTCTGTGATGTACTTCCTAAGCGGAGCTGGGATACATGACAGTTCACTATAATTACTCTTTACACTTTTTTCATATTTGAAGTACTTCTAAGTCACTTTTAAAAAGAAATATCCAGTTACTAATGAGCATCTCCATTTCATACACAGTGACAGTTATGCCCAAGTCACAGTAACTGATCACTGGGACAGCTGGACACCTCTCCTGTTAGTTACCTAAGCCAAGAAAAGAAGAAATTATAAGCCCACCACCCACAAGTTTTTCTGAGATACTGCTTAGATATATTATAAGGTTGTATCCTCTAAGTATACACAATCCACCTCTTTCACAACTCTCACATCAACAAAAATCTGGTACCACTTAGTCTTATAAATAAATTCTTTATAACTCACACATCAAAAGTTTCCTTATTTGTCGCTGCTAAAATACAAGTGAACTGGTAAATCACATAACTACCTGTATCTGGCTGAACGCAGACACCTGTATACATTTAGATCTCTGTGCATGAGTCTAACTCACATCCTGTAACATCCAAATTAAGCCGCTCATCATATAACCGCAAAGGAAATTGTCATCTCTGCCAAAGGTAACTTAGCCAGGGGATTCCAAAACACTCCAGCCCGTCAGTGGGCGTTCACCTCATGCATTCTAAAAGTCCCATCCCCGGTCCAACGTTTACACTACCCACCGAAGTGCCGGCCTCCAATGGTGAGACGCTGGCATACCTGCAGACCCCAATTTTCGGCTCGCTATGGCCAAACAAGAATGGAGGCCCTTAAGTTTCACCTAATTACGAACCCAAGATCACACACCGCCAGTCCAGCCGGGGAAACGGAAGGTGGAAGTCCGGGCTGGGGGACCAGCCTAGTCTGCGAGAGTCCACCAGAGCCCCACAGCCCAGGCAGCCGGCCCGCCTACTTCTCTCCCCACCCCCATGCAGGCCCACCCCACCCCCACCCGGGCGCGAAGCCTGCGGTCGGTCCCCGCACCTGCGGGACCCACGGACCGGCCGCCCCGCCACTTCTCTTCAGGAAGGAAAGGCCGACTCGGACGTTCCCCGCCCCTTGCCTCCGGCCACCAACCTCTCCCGCCGGGACCCACCCACCCCTCCGAGCCTTCCGCGCTCCTCCAGCAGAGCGCTGGGCCAACACCTTGTCCACCACCTCACCGGGGGCCTGGCCTTCTCCGCGGCGAGCTCCGTGCCCTCCTCACCTCTCCCAGAGGACCGCGCCACACCGGACGCTCGAGGTCCGAAAGGCAACTCCCACCGCTCCCCAACTCGCCAGGCTTCCCTTCCCAGCTGCGGCCACCCGAAGGGCCAAGTCCCAAGATCCCCCTCCATGATCTTCCGGGCCTCCGTTCGCCTCCGGCCCGAGCCCCCAGCCCTGCCCGGCCGCTCCCCCGCCTCTGGAGGCACGGCCCGATAGCCGGCCCGGCTCCTCCCGCGGCGGTCCCAGCCCCCGCCCAGCGTGCGGCACACTCACCGCTGAGCGCCGAGGCCTGCAGGGTGGCCCCCGAGGTGCCGTCGATGACTTTGATGGTCCCGCGGCTGGTGACGGCCAGGATGGCGTTGAGCGCCGGGTGGTAGGAGAGGCTGTGCAGCCCGTCGGCGTCGCAGCGCATGCAGCCGTCCCGCAGCACCAGCCACTCTGAGACCCCGGCCGCTCCCGCTCCCGCCCCCGCCGCCGCCGCCACCGAGGAGCAGCCCGGGCCCGAGGCCGCCGCAGCCGCAGCCGCCATCTTCCGGCCTGCGCTCTGCACAATCACACTGGGAAGCGGCTCAGTGACAGTCCCGGGAGGTGCAGCACCACCACCAGTCACCATCCGGGGCCAGGGGGCAAGCGGAGCGCGTTAGCCGGAAGTGAAGTCAGGCGCCCGCACGCACGCGAAACGTCGGCCGCCCGGCCGGAGGGGCCAAGCTCGCCGGGAGCGGGCGGGGGAGGGGGAGTAGGAGCGAAGGGGGCGGGGCCGGGGGCGGGGGCGGGAGGCGCGCGGGTGGAGCATGCGCGGGAGGACTCGCGCGTGCCACGCGCCGCTGGTCCGGCCAGCTCTGCGTCCGCAACGTCCCAGTTTCTTCCTGCGAGCCCAGGGAGTGGCCGCTGGCCGAGTTCCACGCCGCTCCTCGAGAGGGCGGGGGAGGGGAGGAGGGGCGGGCTGGGCTCCCCGCGTTTCCGCTAGGCGGGACCCCAGCTCGGGCGGCTGCGCTGGTGCGCCTTGAGGCCCTCTGCAGCGGTTCCAGCTGTGCCCGGCCGTTCCCAGCCCGCGCGGGGCGGCCTGCCCGCCCGTGGCCGGAAACAGACCTCGGGGTCCGGGGCCCGACTCCAGGAAGGAACCCGACACCCTTCCTCAGCTCGTGCCAGTTACGGCGCCTGCGCTTCCCCTCTCCAAATCTTTGTGTATATCAAAAGTGCCCGAGAAGAGGTGACGAGGGCAGAGTTTGGTTTCTCCGTCCACAGTCCAAGTCATTCGAATTACGTGGATTGTGTGCGTGTGCGTGTGTGTGGACTAGAAAGGACTCCCAGAAAACATTTTTTGAAACAACTGTTAAATTCAGAGTTAGTTGCAAATATAGTACAGATTTCCAAACCACCTGACCAGTCCTCCTCAGAGATTGCACAGGGAGGTCCAACTTACCCTTCACCCAGTTTCCCTCAACAGTTGCATACTGAGTGAATTTAGTACAACAGCAAAAGCAGGGTTCTGACATTTGTATGATAGGTGTATATTTCATTGTTTCAGCATGTGTAGATTCTAGCGCAGTCATGAAAATGCAGAACTGGATATTTTGGGGACATTATCTTGGAAAGGCCTGATTTCCTCTTTAAAACCGAATCAAAGTGCTGTTATGAGGATTCAGAATCACTGCACTGGCAGGCATTTTGCCACAATGCTTAAAGTCCTGCTTAGGGCACCTGCATCCCAAATCGGAAGTACCCGGGTTCAAGTCCAGCCCCACCCACCATTCCAGCTTCCTGCCATTGCACTCCCTAGGCTCAAGTCATTGTGTTCTTACCATCAACGTGAAAGGCCTGGCTTGATTTCATGTTGCAGGCATTTGAGGATTAAATCTACAGATGGGAGCACTTGTGTGCTCGCTCGCACTCTCTATCTCGCAAATAAATAAATTTTAAAAAGGAAAAATATTCAGGGGGTGTTGAAATCTATGATTAGCAAGGGATTGGTCCTCAGTATATAAGGTCATACTAAAAATGATCCATAATGAAGAAGGAGATGGACAAGGGAATGGGAGGTGGGATGGGAGCAGGGTGGGGAAGAACCACTATATTCCTAAAGTTGTATCTATGTAAAAATGCATTCATTAAATTAAAAAAATAGTGAGAAAAAATATTCAGGGGGACCAGTGTTGTGGCACGGCAGATTCCCCCACCGCTTCCAGTCATCCCTTATCTCCCGCATCAGAGCACCAGCTCTCTACTGCTGAGCCAGCTCCCTGCTGATGTCCCTGGGAAAGCAGCAGAAGCTGGAACTTGTGCTCCTGCTACCCATGTGGGAGACCCAGTTGGTGTTCCAGGCTCTTGGCTTAAACATGACCCAGCCCCAGCCATTGCAGCCATTTGGGGAGTGAACAAGCAGACAGAATCTCTCTCTCTCTCTCTCTCTCTCTCTCTCTCTCTCTCTCTTCTCTCCCTCTCTCCTTCTCTCTCTTGTCACTTTCCCCTTCAAATAAATAATAAATCTTTCAAAAAAGTTTTTTTCCCTCCTACTATCCCTTTAGCCAAATCTTTCTTTAATCCAAAGACTCTCCTCTAAAACAGTCCTGCAGCACAAATCAAGCCTCCCATCTTACTAAGGGAAAACAAACTAAACCTGGACCCTGAATCTAAATCAAATGTACTTTCATGCTTCTCTGGATTGAGTAGAATTGAGCAAATTTTCAGTTAGCCTGTGTTCCTTTTTTGATTGAGAAAAATATTTCTTTTCTCTATAAATTTAGATTGCTTTCACCTGTAAACTGACATTTTCCAAAGCTCCTTAGCCAGAAGAGTTTCTGGAAATATTTCCATAGTCAAAGAAATTTGGGAAACAACTCCTCCTATATTTCTCCTCTTAGGAGGTTTCTAATATACGATAGCGTTTCAGAAGCTCTCAGATCTTGTATAATAAAGAATCCTATTTCACCTCCTTTAACCAGCATCTCACAAGCTCACATGACCCCAGAATCCTGCACAAGTGTGTGTGAGTGTGTCTTTTTGTTTGAGGACTCCTTGAGACCTCAAAGATGGCAGGTAAGAGGTTAAGGACCCAGGTTCCAGTTCCTTGAATTGAAGTGATAGGGAAATGGAATTGGGACAGACTGGGTCAAGTTCATCTTTCTGCATACTGCTGACAGCAAATAGCCACACCATTGACATCCATTACTAGTCGTGTTGTAGTGATGGCTTTTTGAAGGCCTTCAGCCAAACCATTTTGGGCATAGGTGGTGATTACCTAAAGGAAGTAGAAATTCCTTTGCACTGACAATCAATCTGGAATGAGGAATTTGCTGGACTCAAAAAACATGGACTCAGAAAGCAGGTCTGATTGACACACAAAATCCAACACCCTTTCATGGGGGAAAAGAAAAGCAAGTCTCAGCAAACTAGAAATAAAGGGAAATTTCCTCGACTTCATAAAAAGCTACTAAAACTTCATAAAAAGCAGTTACTAAAAAACCTACAGCTAACATCATACGGAACAGTGGAAGACTAGACGCTTTCCTGCTGAAATCAGGGACAAGCCCAAGACATCCACTCTCACCACTCGTGTTCAGCATAGCACAGGAAGTTCTGGAACTTACTAAAATAAGTGCAACAAGGCGAGAAAAAGAAAAGCATTGAGAAAGTAGAGTTTCTTAGCTACTGTGCCCCCCTCACCATACCCCTACCTTGTGCAGCACTATTGGAAGTCAGATAGTTAGAACAGTGGCTAAGGCCTAAGAGACAAACTGCCCTAGAGCTGTCGCTGCTGATTGGCAGAAGGCTAAGCAGCAGAAAGCCTGTACATGGAGCTGGGCAGCAGTGGGGCACAATTAAGTTCAGAGTTTACAGAACAAACACTACGTCTGAAGATTCATTGGTAAATACTATGGCAGCTGAAGTCATGCCATGGCACATTGAGACCACACCAGTAAAACTCACAGCACACACATGTGTGCACACACACACGTGCACACACACACACACACACATGCTATTGAGCCATATACAAGTACTGTAGCACACAGATGCTAGAGATTCATAAGGGGATCAATTAGCTCTTTAAAAATTACTGATAATTACCAAACTCAAAATAAATTAGAAATCATCACCTTACTGCCCAAATTAATTAATCTCTCTGTTGAAGTTTTGGAACAAAGCAAATAATGAAAGTCTAATGATTTCTAATAGAAAGGTGAATCTCCCAGGAATTTCTTCTATCTCGCCATTACACACATCTTTTTTTTAAGATTTATTTACTTATTTGAAAAAGAATCACAGAGAGAGAGGGAAAGAGAGAGAGAGAGAGAGAGATCTATCTATCTATCTGTGATTCACTCCCCCGAATGACCACAACAGTCTGGACCAGGAGCCAGGAACTCCATTTAGTCTTCCAAGTAGGTTGGTGTACTTGGGCCATCATGCACTGCCCTCCCAGGCATATTAGCAGGAATTCTGGATCAGGACTGAAGTAGCCTGGACTAGAATCCACACTGTGTTGTAGGATGATGGCTTAACCCGCTACACCACAATGCTGGCCCCTCAAAACATTAAAAAGAAAATTGCCATGTGTGCTTGCAATTCCACTCTGGAGTACATACTCAAAAGAATTTAAAGCCAAGACTCAGAGATATTTGGACACCCAAGCTCATAGCAGCATTATTCATAATGGTTGGCAAGTGAAAGAAACCCAGGTGTCCATCAATCAATGACACAAAAGCAAAACATGGAGTATTATTTGACCTTAAAAAGGAAGGAAAGGGTGACACATGCTACAACATGGAAGTACCTTAAAATATTAAGCAAAGTAAAATATGCCAGACATGAAAAGATAAATACTGTATTATTCCACTTCTATGAGGTACCTGGAAGAGTCAAATTCCCAGAGACATACAGTAGAATGGTGGCTACCAGGGGTTGAGGGTAGGGAGATGGGGAATTATTTTTTAGTAGGTACAGAGTTTCAATTTTGCAAATCAAAAGTGTTCTATGGGTAGAAGACGGTGATGGCAGCAAGACAATGTAAATGGACTTAATGCCACTAAACTTCATTCTCAAAAATGGTTACGATGGGGCTAGAGTTGTGGCGTACTGAGTAAAGAAAGCCACCACCTGCAATGCCAGCATCCCATATAGGCACCAGTTTCAGACCTGGTTGCTCTACTTCTGATCCAGCTTCCTGCTAATGTGCCTAGGAAAACAGGGGAAGATGCTCCAAGTGCTTGGGCTCTTGCACTCACATGGGAGACCTAGATGAAGCTCCTGGGTCCTGATTTCCGTCACTGTGACCATTTGGGGAGTGAACCAGTGAATGGAAGCTTTCTCTGTCTGTCTGTCTGTCTCTGTCTGTCTCTGTCTCTCTCTCTCTCTCTCTCTGTAACTCTGCCTTTCAAACAAAATAAATATTTTAAAAAATGATTAAGCTATCACTTACAGCTTCTAAGACTAAATGCTGGCGATGATGTGGAGCAACAAGAACTCTTACTCACTGCTGGTGAGACAGCAAAATGGTAAAAAACCACCTTGGAACACTACTTGGCAGTTTCTCACAAAGCTAAACAGAGCCTTACCAAACCATCCAGCAATCACATCTCTACACACTTGAAAATTTATATCCACAAGAATTCTGCACAAGGATATTTATAAGAAATATATCTTTACGAGAAATATATTCTTAGAAGAAATAGATTTACAAAAACATATTTATATATATATAAAGAATATTTACAAG